AATCCTGAGACTTCAGTATGTTTCACCTAACACCACTGGTTTTTTAAAAAAATGATTGCACTTTAGTTTCAATTTATATTGTAATAAAATTACATACCTATCATATGAAATACAACATGTAAATAGAAAAAAAAGTGGATAACAAGTTGCTCTTTAGATGTGGGGGTACAATATGATACCAAAAGTTGTGCATGTGTCCGGGGGCAAGGGGGAGTTACTATGGCAATGCTTTGAAATCACCAAGTGGTAGTTTGTGTTGTCCTGACATTCACCAATGCCCCCACCTTCCCATAATGAGAGCCTGGAATAAACCATCAACTTGGTATTGTAGGGATACCAAGATGCTGGTTTATTAAGCTATTGTCCTTCCAACTCTATTGAATGCCTGCAAAATATAGACTGTCTACAAACATCACTCTTCACTTCTGGAGAGATTCAATCAGAGTAGCTTCTGAAAAATCCTGCAAATTTATTTATTTATGGTATTTCTAGCCAGCCTTTCTCAGCCCTAAGGCGACTCAAGGTGAGTTAGAGATTGGCAACAATTCGATGCCACACACTCATAAAAATACAATTAAAAACATTCAGCATAACAATATAAAAACCATATAAAAAACCATAAAAACATATAATCACCAGTGTCATCCTGTTAAAGTCATTGCCCAATAGCATCGTTTAGCCATTCCATGTTCATTCTTCATAGTTTCATGTTTAACTATTGTGCTGCATTTCCAAAAGCTTGTTTGAAGAGCCAAGTGTTTACTTTTTTTCAGAAAGTCAGGAGGAAGGGAGCTAATCTAATATCCCTAGGGAGCAAGTTCCTCAGCCAAGGGGCCACAACTGAGAAGGCCCTGTCTCTCATCCCCGCCAGAAGCGCCTGCGAGGAAGGTGGGATCGAAAGCAGGGCCTCCCCAGATGATCTTAAGTTCTTAGATGGTTCATAAGGAGAGATATGATCAGACAGGTAAGCTGGGCCGGAACTATTTAGGGCTTTATAGGCTAAAGTCAGCACTTTGAATTGTGCCCGATAGCAAACTGGCAGCCAGTGGAGTTAGCGCAACAGAGGAGTTGTATGCTCCCTGAGCACTACTCCTGTTAGTAACCTGGCCTTTGCCCACTGGACCACTTGAAGTTTCCCAACAGTCTTCAAAGGAAACTGCCGAGAGAGTACATTGCAATAGTCTATACGGGATGTATCCAGAGCGTGGACTACCATGGCCAAGTCAGACTTTTCAAGGTACGGGCACAGCTGGTGCACAAGCTTTAACTGTGCAAATTCTCCCCTGGTTACCACCAAAACCTGGGGTTCCAGGTTCAGCTATGAATCCAGGTTCACTCCCAAGCTGCAAACCCACGTCTTCAGGGGGAGTGTAACCCCATCCAACACAGGCTGTAACCCCACACCTTGATCCGCTTTCCGACTGACCAAAGTACCTCTGTTTTGTCTGGATTTAATTTCAACTTATTAGCCCTCATCCAGTCCATCACAGCTGGTTACAGCTGACCAGGAGTACCTCTGTCTTGTCTGGATTCAGTTTCAAATCTCTTGGGAAGACAAGTGGACAAAAATCAGTGTTCTGGTAGAAGCAAAAACCACCACCATTGAAACAATGATTCTTTGACATCAACTTCTCTGGATTGGCCATTTTGTCTGAATGCCTGATCACAATCTCCCAAAGCAGTTACTATACTCACTACTCAATGACAGAAAATGGAATATTGGTGGACATGAAAAAAGATTTAAAGATGGGCTTAAAGCTAACCTTGAAACTGTGGCATAGACACCAATAACTGGGTAGCCCTGGCCTTTGAGAACTGTAACTGGAGGTCAGCTGTTATCAACAGTGGATTTTGAAGAGGCACAAATAAAGGGCGGAAGATAGATACATGCCAAGAGGAAGGCACGTCAAGCCAACCCTTGTTGGGACCGCCTTCCATCTGGAAATGTATGTTCTCACTGCGAAAGACCATACGGATCCAGAATAGGTCTCTACAGTCACTTATGGATCCACCGTCAAAACTCTACCCTTGGAAGACAATCGTACTCAGCCACGAATGGGTTTTTTGAAGGTCATTTAGTATTTTGTTATCTACTGGTTGGTTCTGATAATGGTAAATTCCCTGCTTCCAATTTCAGATCAACTCCTTGAAGCAACAATGAGTTCTGCTGCCAACAGCAATGAGTTCTGCTGCCAACAGTTCCACACATTCAGTTACCAACTCTGCCTAATACAATGTCATTAAATACAATATGACCCTCCTTATCTGGAGAAGTGGTTTCATTTATCCATGTCTAAAACAATATGTTCTCTCTAGGCCCTCCAGCACAACTCTATGGTATTCTTGGGCCAGATGTCCTTCATTTCTACAGGGTTCACTAACACTGACAGTTCTGACAGTCCATGCAAAGTCTAGGTACATATCACCTGTACATATGAGGGTCATACCGAACAGCCAAGATGGAAAACTGATACTAAGCCAGTGTTTGTATTTCTCAAGGCCCTCCCTCCAACCCCAGCCAGACCCAGCCTGAGAACTGGGGTCCCACAAGATCCTCCTCCACATTGCAGGAAGAATCTTGCTATACAGTGTAAATACCAGAAAACAATTCCTGCACATCTGACAAAGTATTTGACAAAGGAACACTCGTGAGATTCTTTGGCTCCAGGGTAATGAACACAACAGCAAGCAAGCACAGCAGCCTCACTACAATCCTTTTCTATTGGTTTATCTGCTTTGCTAAAAGCACAATAGATGACACTGAATATTTTTTAGCTCAAGACAGCCAGAGTTAAGTCCAAAAAGGGGGAGAAACACATCAATGTCTGGCAAAAAAGCAGGCCTAGAAATGTCTGGGTCAACATAGTCACCCAAATCAATAATCTTGTTATGCAAGATTGAAACCCCTAGTCAAAACGATGCCCGATTATTTCATTTCAGAAAATATCCAAACTCCATCAAACACTAAAAAATGTATCCCTAAGCAGAATCAGCTACCCAGCAACATGAGCTCTTGCTAAGAATGCCAGCCTCAAATCTGCATTTTCAGTTTAAAAGGATGGCCTACATATTTTTCTTTACCAAAAAAGTACCCTCTCCAAATCTCTTTTCTATGTGTGCCTGACTATAAAAACGACCAATGAATCATGAACAATTTATCTGTTCAAGTTCTCATATTACAACAAACTGTTCCCAGCACAATATTTAAAGAAAGTGTGTGTGTGTGAGTGTTTACGCATGTTGAAGAGAATCTTTGCAGTTAGCAAGGGAAAATAAAGGCAGCAGGCAACACAGAGACACACATAAAAGCATACATAGCACATTGCTATTTTTAAAACCTGAATACACGAAAAATATTGTCACAAAACTGGAGCATTAATAGTACTTACAGTTCTAGAAAAGCCTACAAAACATATAAAATGGCGATCTTATGTACCCTGGCCCTCAGAAAAAGAACAGACCCAATACAGAGCAGCCACCCATCTTTTTCCTTCCTGTAATATGAACCAATGGCTTCTAAAACAGACATCTACACACAAACACAGAACCACTGCATCCTGATATTAAGCATAACACAAAGATGGTATGACAGTACACTTGGCTCCTTCATGCAAGCTATTTAATGCTCTGTCAAATTTGAGAAGCACAATACATTTATACCTGGTTTAACACTCTCTATATCAAATATTCCCAGGCTTAACAGAGATCACATGCGACTTTCAATACACTACAATTTATTCCTTAAATACCTTGTGTCATCTGCTGCACAATCAGGAAATAAAGAGGTTCCTTAATGCTTGTGTCACCCTCTAAATGCAGCGAACCCTGCCTGTCACCAGCCTCCATGGAACTTACCCAATCAAAATACTCCCAAGGCTTTTAAGATTGTCTACTTTATTCCGCCTGAATACAATGGACAACCTGAATTTCAAACTGGATCAGAACCCATTTTCCTCCTGTTTATCCTCCATCTTTATTTCTATTATATTTCCTCATGACTGCAGATGTATATTACCAAAGACAGCTAGGAGCCGGATGGATTTTAGTAACATAATGCATGTTAAAAAGACCAGAATTCCTGATGATTTCCTGTTTGGGGAAGTCGCAGTTTATAGCAAAAGAATCCCTAAGGCAAAAATGTTTAGTGTTCCAACATAATCTCTAAGAGCCTTTGTTCTTTCCTTTGCCACATTCATTCCTGCATTCTCTCCTGCCCCCCCACTCCCTTTCTCTGGAGCCTCCAGCTTCACTGAAAGATGCAAAATGTCTGCTCGAATCTAAGTATTTATTTAGAGAAGAAAAACAAACCTTATCCATCATCTAATGTTCTGAAACACTGAGTCAGAAGGAGACATTCCTTACCAGCTGATGCAGCCCTCCATCCGGTTTCCTATTTGTATGCAATTATTGCTCGTGTATTGTAATTTATCCTACTAGTAATCCACTGGAGTTCTACAAAACCTTTAAAATGCATCTCTTCCACTGAACTGCAAGAAGCTTGGCCACAATGCAATTGTGCATGTAAAATACATAAAATGTATATATATCCCTTCCATCCGGATAAAATCATATATTTTGTGTCATATTTCCTGTAGCTTATAAAAAAAAGACAAGGATGTGTGTACATGTGTGGAGTAAAAAAAAATATTTTTCATGATAAGATAGGAAACATGTTTACAAGTTTAACTGCAAAGTAATGCAAATGTGCTTTCTGTCATAAGATCCACAATTAATGATTGCCGTATGGGGGCCTGTTCCCTTCTGATTTACCATAAGGAGGACACGTCTGCCTATAAGGTATCCCTCACAAAGACAGCATTGCTAGCCTGGCCATGAATAAGCCTTTATAAGCAATCTGAGAAAACCTGGATGGGTTTAATAGCATTTCTTTGCCTAATTTAGACCCTGTGCCTGGTTCTGGAATCACAAACTGCATTCAGGCTTTGTACATGTTATCCCCATGCTATTGTGATCATACTAAAAAAAATGCCATAGCTCACCTTCTATACCTTGACCTGTGGAAGATGTTTTTTTTGGTAATGCCAATGGTCAGCTATACTTCCACAGACGCATAGCCACTGAAAACCTGAAAAGGTTAAAGGCAGCCCCAATCAATAGGCCTACAAGGAGAAAAAGAAAAGAGTATGCCTTGATAAGCCTCTTTTGTAAATGCTTTCATGCACATTCTTATAACAATAGTTTGCTCCTGGCCTTTAACAGAGATGAGACACAACACACATACACACTTTTCTTGAAAACGAACCTATAGGACAGCATCTTGTAAATAAAATCGGCATGCAAAGCAGCAATCCTCAGCCATAAGCATAAGCAGAAATAGAAACCATTCTTTTTTATTATTTTGTTCAGCTTTCAAAAAAGAAACAAAGCACCTAGGTAGGTACCCATGTGTACCTTCTGGCAAAACAAAGGAAACATTTTTCATCAGGGAGACAAATCTCAGCTGTTGTCTATAAAGGGAAAATAGAACGCCCCCCTCCAAAAAAAAATCCATCAAGAAAAAAAGGCAGGAACCAGCCAAAGTCATTGCAGTCAGATACACAGAAACCTTTATGACTATCCCATTAGCCACATACCAGAGCAGTGTGTCTAAAGTGTGCATTCACATATTGTTAGGGGATGGTGGTATCTTTCTGCTAGATCCTCTGCTTTTGGCTGCCATGGAGGGAGGAAGCTATCCCACTGTAGCAGCTCAATGACTGCATTGTGTTCAGGAGCTGATCTGCCTCAAACCAGTTTCAGCCGGCCCTGGTCACCCTACATAAAAAGCTATGGCAACCCTCGCTGGGTTGCCAACAAATCCTGAAAATCAGAGGGGCTCTCGGCTGCTTTCTTCTCGGGTGCGAGGGCAATTCCTGTCCTGTTTCTCCCCCCTCCCGCCTCGTTTTTCCCCAGTCGCAGCCCCTTCTAACAACCCATCATAACAGCAGCCTGCATTCCAATCATCCTCTTTTGCCTTTTTTCATCCACAACTTACCTCCCAGAACCTGGCTGGAAAGCTGTGTGAGTCTGTAGCTAACAAAGAGAGAGAGAGAGAGAGAGAGAGAGACGGCAGTTAAAAAAAAATCTCTTCACAGGATCTCCTTTTTGCTGCACCAAAGATACTCGGCCGCAGGAGCAAGAGGGTGGCTGCTAAGCAGGGTTCCCCTTGTCTCTTGCTCCCCAAGAGAATGAAATCTTCCCCCTACTTCCTCCAGCATTTGGTCATCTGCAAAAAGCATGCCTTCCTTACTCCGAAACAAGCTCAAGCACATAGGTCCGTGCTGCATTTGGGGTGGCTACTACGGAGTGTCCTTTCTCCCCACATTAACCATATACATGTAAAACGCCGGCCTTGTGGCAACAATCCACACTGAGAGGTGGTTATGTAAAAGCAAGGCCTTTCCCTTGCCGACACGATTCCTCTTCTCCACAAAAGAGTGTGTGCATTTTCTGCACGGATGGCCTTGTCCAAATACGACCTGAAACAGTATTACACCCCCTCACCTCGATTCAGGGTCCTCAGATGGTATTGCTGTTCTCAAGTCTGAAGCCACAGCTGAAGCTTCTGAGATCGACATCATTTAAAAGCACAAGAGCCACCAAGCTCTGCTCCCTACCCACTAACATCTGACATTTTGACCTATGTAACTAACCTTCTTCCCATCCTTTTCTCACCACAATCTCTCTCCCCCCCCCCAATCTAGACGTCTCCCTATACAATGTCTGATCTTCACAAGTTCTAGCCACAACCTTTGTTGTGCTACCTTAATGATAACAAAGTACATTACCCCCACATTTGTTTGTTTCCTTAACTCAGAATTTATCAGGCACGAGGATGACTCCTGAAAATGGTCTTTTAAAAACAACTCCTCTCTTTCCTTCCTTCCTGTCCATGCACCGAGGGTTACTTCATAACCATTATTACTCATTTCCCAGAACTCCACACCCATTTTGGTTGAGTCCTCAGGGTCATTCAATGTAAGGTCTTCTAGACAGAAGCCACAATTTTATTAATAGCCTGCTATCTTACCTTTCCTAAAATAGAGCCAGATCCCATTGCATAAGGTTTTTTGTGAATCAGAAATGACTTGAGAAACTGCAAGTCACTTCTGACACACATAAAAAAAACCTTATGCATTGGTATTTTAGGTAAGGTGGCAAGTCACTTCTGGTGTGAAGAATTGGCCATCTTCAGGGACTTTGCCCAGTGGACACCCGGATGTTTTACTATCCTGTGGGAGGTTTCTCTCATGTTCCTGCATGGGAAGCTGGAGCTGACAGAGGGGAGCTCACTTCGTCTCACAGATTTGAACTGCCGACCTTCAGGTCTGCAGTTTAGTCCGCACAAGGGTTTAAGCCATTGCACCACCGTGGCTCCTAGTGAATAACATAATATTAATTGTCTTAATGCAGCCCCCAAATCCTTTATTAGCCTATTCCTTCATTCCATCCTGTTCTCATATTATAATGGATTCTACCATTGATTCACAAGCTCAATTATTGTATGAGCTGCTTTGAGTCTATGGAGAGAAAAGGCAGGGTATAAATAAACATAATAATAATAATAATAATAATAATAATAATAATAATAATAATCCGAAGCTCTTGAGCAGTGGTTGGCTTGCATACACACCAGTATGAAAGAAAGAATTCAATCACACAGTATAGAAGATCCAGCTCATGTAATTTCTTCCCATTTTAGTACACTCTTGATATCAGCTCATCTGTATTATATAAATATCCAAAGCTTCTGGTGCAAGATGGAGGTCAGCTCCTCAGCAGTGGTTTGCACAGGCAATTATTTCACAAAGGTAATACAGTATTGGGCCTCCTCTCTACAATAGAGGTAGTTATGAACAAGATAGGTTATATAGGTTTGTTCTTAAGTGGAATTCGTTTGTAAGTTGGAACAGGTATACTTTTCAAGTGTAACTTCAGCCATATATAGTAGCTTTGGATAGCATAGGGAAGGCTTAACAGTCCTGTGGTGTTTGTCTTCCTATCTATGTCCCTGGTCAAAGGATTTCCCCTCACTTTCTGTCTCTGTGAGAATAGGATTTTGAAATATTTGACTTCATTTGACGTGGAAACAAGGATTGGTGATAAAGCTTCAGCTGATACTCTTTTTCCCCATGATAGCTCTTCCAGGAAATTTCTCTCACTTCCTGTTGTCTCACCCAATTCTTAACTATGAGTCATTAGTAAGCCAGATGTTTGTAACTTGGGGACTGCCTGTACTTTCTTTCGGTTTGGGGAAAATGGAAAAAGCTCTTGCCTGAGACTCTGGAAGCTGCTGTCAATCAGCGTTGGCAATATCATGGTTTATACTATTGTGGTTTGTTTTAGGCATGATTTGTCCAACAGACAAACAAATAACAGTTTTCTTTGCTAATGTTTCTCTCTTTCCTCTTTTGTCAACTGTGATTTCAGGAAGGGACCTGGGAAAATAACTCACCCATGGCCCTAGATTCAAACACAATGACAAACAATGATTTACACAAGCCATGTGCTATATTGTGGCTTGCAGCTTGCTAACAAACCATGGCTTGTATATGGGTGCTGCTTCAGATACTAAAACAAATTACTGACTTGCTAACAGAATCAAGTCAGTGTCTCACTGGGTATAACGCTGACCCATATATTCCTATTTTCTGTGCAAAGGTGCAGTTCATTCATATTGTACAACATGGCTGATACTGGGGGTCACATTCTGGAGCAGCTTCAAATCATGCAAAGCGACACTTGCTCAGAAGCTTGGTCACTTGCATTTCAACCTGTTAGCAATCCAAGGAGGTAAAGCTATAGTAAGCTGAAATCAACAATATAGTTACATTTCTGATGGGCACCTCCCAAACAGTCAAATGTGCCAGTTACATAGTAGCATCTCAGCCAAGTATGGTAACAAGTATGTAAGCCTTATACATAGTAGCAGCCACAAATCCTAAGGATCTTGTCTAATCTTAGAAGCCAAGCGGGGTCTAATCTGGTTAGTGCAATGGGGGACCAACAATGAATACCAAGCGTTATAGGCTATATTTCAGAGGAAGGAATTGGTGAAACCTACTCTTGAGTTCTCCTTATCTAAGAAAACGCAATTAAACCCATGGGGCTGCCATAAGTAGACAGACAACTTGAAGGCACCTACATGGATGCATCTGCAAAACCAAAGGTCCCCTACTCATTCTATGCAGCTACTATACATCCAGGTGTCCAGGATGAATTTCCAGGGAAAGTAGCCATGTTAGGCTACTACAGCAAAACAAAAGGGAAAAGTCATACGGCATATTAAGAGACAAAAGAGATTTTAGCTGCCAAAAACCTGCTGTAGCTGCAAGGATGGAACAAAGCTTCTAAGAAAAGGTACCATCAAGAATCTTAAAAAACTCACAAAAGAGTCTCCTCCCAGTAAAACCACAGGGTCCACTTCCAACTACAAATGAAGTACTAGTCAAATATCCCTTATCCAAAATGCCTAGGACTAGAGGTGTTCCATTTTTCAGATCCTGGAATACTATCATGACCACAATGGAATGGACACATTGATGGTGGGACCCAAGTCTTTAAAAAGGAAATGAATTGCATCATATGCAGTTGGCCATCTGTATCCACGGATTCTCTATCCACTAGTTATGGGCCCAAACTTTGTCCCATTCATTTTATTCGTGTTTCTGTTTCGTATCACCCATTCAGATGGCATGAAACGGCAAGGCCCCTCCTGAAATTAAAATTCAATCGATATGGATGGCAGGTGGGCCTGCCTTTCAAATGGATTGTGTAGGGCCGGGCAGGGCTTGCAGCTGAGTGCCAAATAAGGAGCACTCCTTACTCAGCACTCAGCTACAGGCATCCCAGCTCCTTGAACCTAAGTGCCCATGCCTGGCAGGGCCTACAGCTGAGCACCGAGTAAGGAGCACTTCTTACTTGGAGCTCAGCTGCAGGCCCTACCAGGCCCAGGAGCGTAGGCCAGGAAGCCTGAACCCATAGGCCCAAAGCGTGCAGGTCTGTGGGTGCTGGCAGAGCATGCAGCTGAGGACCGAGTAAGGAGTGCTCCTTACTTGGCGCTTGGTTGTAGGCCCTGCCAGAATCATAGAGTTGGAAGAGACCTCATGGGACATACAGTCCAACCCCCTGCCAAGAAGCAGGAAAATTGCATCCAAAGCACCCTGGCAGATGGCCATCCAGCCTCTGTTTAAAAGCTTCCAAAGAAGGAGCACCTACCACACTCCAGGGCAGAGAGTTCCATTGCTGAACAGCTCTCACAGTCAGGAATGGCCAGGCCTGTGTACATAGATCCAAAGCCTGCACCCGTATGCTTGGGCACTTTGGGCTTATGGGTGAAGTCCCCCCTCCCCCAAAATGCAAATGAAATGAAAATGGAAAACAAATATCTGACCTTCCAATTTTGGAAGGTTCAGACAAAAATTCGTATTGGGGCCCTCACTCAAAGCTGACAAAATGGATCAAGGTAAGTCCTGTATGCAGAGGTCTAGTATCCACAGATTCAATCATCCATTGTTTGATTTTTTAAGAACAAATCCAAAAACCAAAGTTTGAGTTCACCATTTTAAGTGATGAAGGAGCCCCTGGTGGCGCAGTGGGTTAAACCCCTGTGCCGGAAGGACTGAAGACCGACAGGTCGCAGGTTCGAATCCGGGGAGAGGCGGATGAGCTCCCTCTATCAGCTCCAGCTCCTCATGCGAGGACATGAGAGAAGCCTCCCACAAGGATGATAAAAACATCAAATCATCCAGGCATCCCCTGGGCAACGTCCTTGCAGACGGCCAATTCTCTCACACCAGAAGCAACTTGCAGTTTCTCAAGTCGCTCCTGACACGAAAAAAAAAGTGATGAATACCATTGTATATAATGAGACCTGAGTATTTTGGTATCTATGACAAATCCTGGAACCAGGCCTTGGTGGAGAACAAAGGCCCACTGTACTCAATATTCTTTAGCATGAAACAACATTTGTGTACATGGCATCACCAGAAAAATAAAAAGTGCCACTATCCTAGCCATCTATATGGACAATTTTGGAGTGTTATGGATGAGATACATTTGGAGTTGAAAACTCCTGGTCCAATGAATGGATCCCACAGTACTGAATAATGCACCCAGCCAGTTTTAAGCATGAATTTTAAAACTTGTGTCCTGTCTTTTAATCTCTGTCCTGTGTATTTGATATGTATTTTATAAAAATATGTTTTAATATGTACCTTTTATAGAATTACATTTTACTATGTGTGTTTATAGAATCTTTGCAATGTTTGTGTGGTTTGACTGTGCTGTGGTCCACTGTGAGCCACAACAAGAGGTGGGTATGAAATAAAATTGTTGTTGTTGTGTTGTTGAAGGCTTTCATGGCTGGAATCACTGGGGTGCTGTGAGTTTTCCTGTACCTTTTATAGAACTACATTTTACTATGTGTGTTTATAGAATCTTTGCAATGTTTGTGTGGTTTGAGTGTGCTGTGGCCTGCCTCGAGCCACAACAAGAGGCGGGTAAGAAATAAAATTGTTGTTGTTGTTGTGTCAAAGGCTTTCATGGCTGGAATCACTGGGGTGCTCTGAGTTTTTCTGTACCTTTTATATAACTACATTTTACTATGTGTGTTTATAGAATCTTTGCAATGTTTGTGTGGTTTGAGTGTGCTGTAGTCCACAACAAGAGGTGGGTATGAAATAAAATTATTGTTGTTGTGTTGTTGAAGGCTTTCATGGCTGGAATCACTGGGTTGCTGTGAGTTTTCCAGGCTGTATGACCACGTTCCAGAAGCATTCTCTCCTAAGGAACATGGCCATACAGCCCGGAAAGCTCACAGTAATCCATTGCTGTTGTTGTTGTTGTTGTTATTGTTAGCAAATAAAACAAATCTCAATCTTTTTTTTTCCTTTTGGGAAGGAGGGGGAGAATAGTACTGGACTCAGGCCCGTAGCCAGGATTTTGATTGGGGGGGGCTGAGTTTGATTCGGGGGGGGGGGGCTGAGGATCTACCCTAGCAAACCTTTTGTATTGTTATCCCAATACACCCTTAATTTTACTCATAAAAGCACATAAAATGAATCATACAACCCTGCAAGAATAAAAATAATATCCTTCTATGCCTGAGGTGGGGAAAAAACAAGCCAGGGCCTGTGAGCTGCTTCGACAGCCTTAATAGAGGCCTAACATCTTCGTTTGCAGCAGCGGGGATTGATTTTCCTGCCGCCGCCAGGCTTCTCTCCGCTCCAGGCAAGAGTTCCCAAGGCATTCCCTGGCTTGTGGCCTAGCTGTATGGAAAAGCAAGGCCCTCGCTGAGCTCTTTCCCATAGCAAGAGAAAGAGAGGCACAAACCGTGATTGCACTTCTCGCCTCTTTTTTTTGGCCCAGCAGCCAGGAAGGGAGGCAGAGCTGCAGACAGATTATGGACAGCACTTTTCTTTTTTCTGTTGTGTTTTATGCTCCAGCGTACAAAGAGATGCAGCAGCCAGGCCCCACTGGAGTGGAAGGGAGGAAATGAGGGAAAATAATAGAAATATAAGACATATAGCCACATAGAAACAACAGATATATATCTCCTTCCCCTCCTTTTTTTCTTCTCTCTCTTTCCCTCCCTCTCTGCCTTATATTTCTATTATTTGCCCCCTTTTTCCTCTCCTTTTCTAATAGGGCCTGGTTGCTGCAGTGCCCTTAAAAATATAAGACGTATGCACCTTTTGCTACCTAAAAATAACTATAGTGATTTAGTTAAATGCTTTAAAAAGGACCTGAATGTAGAAGAAGAAATATGATAGTACTCATTTTAATTGAATTTAATCTGAAACGGCAATTTGAGGCCAGAGGTTCAAAGGGTGGGTTCCTGCTGGCATCCTGGAAGAAGAGAGGTTTTTCAAGTTTCTCTATTGGATTGTTTACTCCTGTTCAGGGTGTATAATAGTGACAGAAATTGCAAAAAAGAGAGGAAAGTATTGCACCAAGAAGACGCATTTTGGGGACAGGGTGGGCCAAAAGTCACAAAGGTGCCTGATGCTTAGAAAATGATTTCTTTATAGATTGCACATGTTGCACATGTACATTTTATAGATTGCACATGTTGCACATGTACATTTATTTCCTGTGTGTGCATAGTATATTATGCCATGTCGATTAAATAAATATTGAAACCCTCTTTGTGACTTTTTGGCCCAGCCTGGAGAGAAACTGCAAGAAGGAGAAAATTGCACTGAGAAAAGAGATTCCTCAATTCCCAGCTGCTAAGGGTGTGCACATTTAGATGCCTGTCGGTATCTGTAGACATAGATAAGAGAGCTCTCCCCCTTCCTCTGCCCACTTTGCATGCAACCTCCTCGCCCCCCATGCAAACAGACCTGCTGTTGCTGCTGCTGGTAGTAGTAGCAGGAGTGAGTAGTAGCCTTGGGCAAGGCACCAGCTCGTTGCCAAACCCGGGGAAGGGGCTGATCCTGGCCAGGGTGCCTTTATTTCCAGGCAGACATGTTTAAAGGGCTGCTGCCTCTCTCCCTTGCTGCTGCTGCTGCGGCTGCTGCTGCTGCCAGAGGGAGAAAGAGCCAGGCCTGGGAAAGATGGTTGCATGCACATCAATGGAAGGAGGAGAAGGAGAAGGAAAAGGAGAGATCGCGGGGCTCTTTGCAGGGAGGGAAGAGGAGGAGGAGGGGAGGCAAGGAAGGGGAAAGAAGGGGAAACACACACCGCGATGGTGGARGTGGGGGGCCAGAGGAAAAGGCTGGGTGGAAGAGGATCTCCCCTGTGGATTCAATTTAAAACTTGTCACTGGAGTGTGAAGGGGGCGAAGGAGGGGAAGGCTTCCTCTTTGCTCTCCCTCCCTCCCTTCCCTTCCGTCGCCATCATCATCATCATCACCCTCGGCCTTTTATTACAGGCTTTTCTTCTTTTCCTCTCCTCCTTTCCATCCTTCCTTTCTTCCTTCCCCTCCTTTTTAAAATTGGGGATTCCCTCTTGCGGAGAGAAAGAAGAGAAGAGTTAAAAGCCATTTCCCTCCTCCTCTTCCTCTTCCTCTCTCTCTCTCTCTCTCTCTCTCTGGCACGTTTTAATTCCAAAGAGAGTAAAGACAGGGGGATAAAAGAGAGAGAACTGAAGCTTTCTTTGAAGTGTTCTTTTCCCTCGCTCTCTTCTCTATTTTTTCCCTGTCCTCCTTCTCTTCTTTGTAAAATCAGGAATTGAGAAAAGAGGGGAGATAGAGAAGTTAAATTTCCCTCTTCTTCCTCCTGTTTTAATCCCAAGGGGAGTGAAGACAGGAAAACATAGAATGAAATGAGGCTTTTGGAACTTTTCTTCTATTCCTCTCGTTTATTGCCTTCCTCACTTTATAAAATCAGGGATTTCCTCCCCTGAAGACAAAGCAGAGGAAAGAAGTGTTTAAAAGCTATATCTTCCCCTCCCTGGCATGTTTTTAATTCCAAGGTGGGCCCTTCCTTCCACACAGCCCTATATCCCAGAATATCAAGGCAGAAAATCCCACGTTATCTGAGTGTGGACTCAGGGCCCTTCCAGACAGCGCCTTGATCCCAGGATCTGATCCCAGGTTTTCTGTTTATCGCAGATTATATGGCAGTGTGGACTCAAATAATTCAGTTTAAAGCAGAAAACCCAAGATCACATTCTGGGATACAGGAACTGTCTGGAAGGGCCCTTTGATAACCCAGTTCAAAGCAGATAATGTGGGATTTTCTGCCTTGATATTCTGAGATATAGGGCTGTGTGGAAGTGCCCTGAGAGCAGAGAAAGGGGGAAAGGAGAGAGAAACTGGGCTTTTTTCTTTTTCTTTTTTGAAGCCGTCTTATTTTATTAGTGTATTTTGGGGAGCTTTCTTTTTCCTCTCCTCTTTTTCCCCTTCTCTTCTTTTCTAGATGTATAATCTTGGATTTCGTCTTGTGGAGAGAAAGGAAAGAAGTCCTAAAAGCCATTTCCCTTCTGCCTGACATGTTTTCATTACAAGGAGAGTGAAGACAAGGGGGAGAAAGAGAGAGACATGAGGCTTTTTTGAAGCTGTCTTCTTTTATTGGTGACTTATTTTTAAGCTTTCTTCTTTTCCTCTTCTCCTTTTCTTCCTTCCCTACTTTATAAACTCAGGGATTCCCTTTTGTGAGGAAAGAAAAGCGAGAGGAAGAAGAAAGGAGTTAAAAGCCATCTCCCTCCTCCTCCTCCTCCTCTGCCTCTCTGCCATGTTTTAATTACAAGGAGAGAGAAGGCAGAAGAAAGGAGACATGGGTCTGGCAGGGACAGTTGTTTTGGCAAATTTGAGCTCCTTCTTTGTGTAGCTGGATTAAACTGGCTAGGAGGGTGGTAAGACACATAAAGAGATGTGTTTTTGCAACACAGACACACAAACCTTCCTTTAAATATTAGCTGATACCAGGTCTGTATGTATGTGTGCGTATTTGGTTTATTTTTCTCACCAAGAGAAAGATTCTGGGGCAGAATGTTGATAAACAGCATCAGCAAAGGGTGTGTGTTTGCATATTTAGTTTCAAAAACAAGCATGATGGAAAATGGGAGATTCTGGGAAAGCTCTTAGACAAACAGCTCAGGCACAGGAGGGTTTTCTCCAAAATATAATACCATTTAAGGGGTTTGTTTTAAAAACACAGAGATTAAAATCCAACTCAGGGTTGCCACTGCAAAACATGGCAACTTGTTTATCTTCCTGGTTTGCACCCAGAAAAATGTGGGAAGCTGGAAGAAAAATAATGCTGGACTGTGCTGGCCCATTCTGGATTGCGATTTGCTAGCGTGCACTTAATGAGCCAAATTTTGCGACTAACAGCATGATGTTTGGGCAGCCTTATCTTGGTCTGCCCTTATCTGACTTTATAAAGCTGCCACTGTTGCAATCTTATTATGATAAGACTGCCTTTGTCTGAGGGATAACTCACGTGGCGTAGTAATAGTGGAAGAAATTTTAAAACCTTGATCAATTTTCTGTTTAGACAGTTACGTGCACGGCTCCATGCCACAGAGACAAGGAGACAGTCTTGCATTTATTTCTTGGCACTGTCTTTCTCAGTCTCACTGCTTGCCTGGTAAACATTTTTATTTTTAGAATATCATTCTCTTTTCGATTGACAGCAGTGCAGCATGCTGTATCTGTTCATTGCAAAAATTTCTCAGTTTTGCGATTAAGCTGGGTGTCATGGCTGCCAATGTCGGGCCACAGCAAACATTTCACTGAAATGTCAGTCAGGGTCATTTCTCCTCAGGTTAAACCCCTGTGCCGGCAAGACTGAAGACCAACAGGTTGCAGGTTCGAATCTGGGGAGAGGCGGATGAGCTCCCTCTACCAGCTCCAGCTCCTCATGCAGGGACATGAGAGAAGCCTCCCACAAGGATGATAAAACATCAAATCATCCGGGCGTCCCCTGGGCAATGTCCTTGCAGACAGCCAATTCTCTCACACCAGAAGTGACTTGCAGATTCTCAAGTCTCTCCTGACACAACAAAAAAAAAATCTCCTCTAGCACTATGTGCGGGTTCCTCCTGTTTTCTGAAAAATATGCTTGCAGTTAGGGACAGAGAATATTAAGAACCCATGAAACTGCCTAGGATTGAGAAAACAAGTGGTCTTCAAGGGTGCATCCATTCTGTAGAGTTAGTGCAGTTTGACAGCGTTTAACAGCCATGGTCCAATGCTGTGCAGTGGTAGCTTGGTGTTGTTGTTTATTTGTTCAGTCACTTCTGACTCTTCATGACCTCATGGACCAGCCCACGCCAGAGCTCCCTGTCGGCTGTCACCACCCCCAGCTCCTTCAGAGTCAAGCCAGTCACTTCAAAGATACCATCCATCCATCCTTCCTTCTTTCTTTTTCTTTCAATTTTCCCCAGCATCATTGTCTTCTCCAAGCTTTCCTGTCTTCTCATCTTTGCCTCTAATATCCTTCCCTCCAGTGAGCAGTCAGGCTTTATTTCCTGAAGTATTGACTGGTTGGATCTTCTCACAGTCCAAGGCACTCTCAGAATTTTCCTCCAGCACCACAGTTCAAAATCATCTATCTTTCTTCACTCAACCTCCCTTATGGTCCAGCTCTCATCCATAGGTTGCTATCGGGAATGCCATTGCTTTAACTATGTGGATCTTCAGTGTGATGACTCTACTATTCACTATTTTATCAAGATTGGCCATTGCTTTCCTCCCAAGTAGTAAAGTCTTCTGATTTTCCAGCTGTAGTCTGCGTCTGCAGTAATTTTTGCACCTAGAAATACAAAGTCTGTCACTGCCTCCAAGTTTTCTCCCTCTATTTGCCAGTTATCAATCAGTTGGTTGCCATAATCTTGTTTTTTTATATGATTAACTGCAACCCAGCTTTTGCATTTTCTTCTTTCACCTTGCTTATAAGGCTCCTCAGCTCCTCCTCGCTTTCAGCCATCAAAGTGGTATCATCTGCATATCTAAGGTTGCCAATGTTTTTTTCTCAGCAATTTTAACTCCAGCCTTGGATTTGCATGTTTCATGATGTGTTCTGCACACAAATTGAATAGATGGGTGAGACTATATGGCCCTGCCGTACTTGTTTCCCAATCTTGAACCAGTCTGTTGTTCCATGGTCTGTTCTTGCTGGTGTGGTACCATTAATAATAATAATGATAATAATAATGATAATATTAAAATTATATTATTTGTACCCCACCACCATCTCCCCAAAGGGACTCGGGAGGTTCACAAAGCACTCCAAAGTGCTGCACATCAATAAACAATACATAGACATAAAACAATAATAACATGAGATTACAAATGCAAATACAGCTAAAATATGTCATAATAAAATATTAAAATTAATAAAATGCAGTTGTGACTGCAGATAAAACTGGTGTTTTCCATTAACAAGACATGTGCCAAAATGAAATAAACACTTAAGTCCTCAGACTAACCCTTAAAATCTACTCAACATCAAAGGCTTGTTTTTAAAGCCATGTTTTTAGACTCAATTGGAAAACTTGGGGAGATGGGGCTAACCTAATATTGCTAAGGATGGCATTCCAGAGCCAGGAAGCCACCACTGAGAAGGCCCTCTCTCTTGTCCCACCCAACCGTATTTGGGATGGTGGTGGGACCGAGAGAAGGGCATCCTCAGCAGATCGCAGAGCCTGCATTGGCTCATAGAAGGAGATGTGGTCATGAAGATGGTTTTGACTCAAAGCGTATAAGGCTTCTTACACTCTTTGGTAAAGAAGGTAAAGACCTTGTAAAGCTACAATCTGCATTGAGCTATGGCAGTTAAAGTGGTGTCAAAATGCATTAATTCTACATGTAGATGTACTGCATCAAGGCCCAAGGATGATGGGAGCTGTGTTCCAGCAAAATATGGAAGAGCAAGCTTAATGTTGGCTATACTGAACAGCTGCAGAAACCTCCAGGATCTGGAGAAGGATCTGCTTCTTTCCTGTAATCCAGTGGTTCTCAACCTGGGGTTCCCAGATGTTTTTGGCCTTCAACTCCCAGAAATCCTAACAGCTGGTAAACTGGCTGGGATTTCTGGGAGTTGTAGGCCAAAAACATCTGGGGACCCCAGGTTGAGAACCACTGCTGTAATCCATTCCATGGGGAAATCTGGGGCTTCTGGGGAAATGGGGAAATCTGGGGCTTCTGTATTCTGTATGTGAAGTAGGTAGCTTTAGAATGATAAGAGATAACTGTTTATCCCAGAGGCAGGTAAAGTGTGGTCTGCAACTCATAACAGGCAAAGGCATTATAGCAGATTCTACATTTTTGTGGGAGTTAGGGGTGCAGGACAGTGGAAGAATGACACATTTTTTAA